ATTAAATGAGCACACGAGCTTGTCATGACCAATAAACACAGTAATCGCTGTCAAAGTATTTCATTAATTCCGAAATTGGTTTTGATGGCAATTTTGTAGAAGTGTGAGGCTCTCGGCAACTTTCTAGAGCTTTCAGAACTGTTGTGAGGAGAGGATTGTCTGTGGCTTGCAACTTGAAAAGATATGCTACTAGAACTACACCATCTTTCTCTCGAAGAGCTGATTCTTGTGTTAAGTAACTCGTTTTAAAGTGCACAACATGCATTTCCATTGGCATTCTGCATGAAAATCACATATATTTCATATATGTATAAATAAACATATACAATCACATATATGTATAAATAAATATATATTTACTCACTGAGTACCGTCAACTGTGTGCTCACTACCCTCCATACAAGTTCGTCCCCAATGAAAGTGCAATTGAGAAAAGACGTATTTACCAATCAGTGGTCCACCTCGCAAGTATGGTCTCTCAACATGCCATTTTGCACTTATTATCACTGCATAATCATCAAAATGATCAATATATTATAAAAAACACAGTTTAGGGGGTTTCATATTAAGTTTACATAGTAATTCATTGAATATTTTATTGCTGTCTTCAAATATAGCCAAATATGATCGGATTCCGATTGCTAACTTTATGAATGAAAAATATTGTAATACTTGACGCATAATAAACTATTGCGAAGAAAACCATTAACAAGAGAACATGTTATTTATTGAAAGGGTATGATGGTATTGTAATTAAAGTTGAAAAGGATGAGCAAAAGATAATTGTAAGTTTATTGTAAGTCAGCAAAGCAAGAAATTATTAACTAAACTGTAGTTATTAAAAGTAATTACTGTCCTATTATAAAAATCATAAATAGGAGTTTAAAATATATAAATTATCTTTCTATTAACTTCCCGAAGGAGAAGTTTATGTTTTCATAAAAAAATCCGATTCGCTAATTTTATGATTTCTCGACGTTTCAAGTCATTCTGAATCGAATGAGACCAAATTTGGAAAAAGTATGTGTGTGCGTATGTGTGTGTGTGTGTGTATGTGTGTGTGTGTATGTGTGTGAACAGATTTTTTGCCGTAAATCGACGTTCTCTCTAAAACGGCTGGACCGATTTCAAAAATTTAAAAGCCATTCGATGTATCTCGATGAGGACTATCGTTTCTGAGTTTTGTGCGGCGATCGGCCGGACCGTTTTTTTGTAAATTGCAGAAAAGTGAAAAAATTTTCATCCACGTTTTAGCCCGCAATTCTGAATCGATTTTGAAAATTCAAAAACCATTCGATAGATATTGGTTGGGAATCGTGCTGATTAGTTTTTGGTAAAGGTCGGCCGGACCGTTTTCTTGTAATAAAGTTTTTTTAAAAAAAAAATTGACGATTTTTATCATTTTTTTTTGACGGTAGATACCATAGTTTTCTAGGTCGTACTAAAATATTACGGCCTTACGACAACTTGTTTAGCTTAAAAAATTCGTCAAAGTTTGCAAAAATTGGTATCATTTTTTTGACATTTGTCAAAATTAAACCTTTGATCGACGTTTTCTCAAAAACGCCTGAACCGATTTTAGAAATTCAAAAGCCACATGATGTATTTTGGTGAGGACTATCGTTTCTCAGTTTTGTTCGACGATCTGCCAAGCCGTTCCTTTGTAATTTGAAAAAAAGTGTTAAACTTTTCGTCCACATTTAAGCTCATCCTACCGAACCGATTTTAAAAAATCAAAAACTGTTCGAAAGATATTATTTGGGAATGATACTAATTAGTTTTAGGTGAAAATCTACCGAGCCGTTTTCTTGTAATTAACTGTTGAAAAAAAAATTTAAGCCGATTTTTATGGAATTTTTTTTAGTGATATATACCGGGGTCTTATAGAACTTACTGAAATATTACGGCCTTACGACAAATAGTTTGATTTTAAAATTCATCAAAGTTTGAGAAAATGAGTAGTTCTTTTGACATTTGAAATTGAAATTAGACTATTTACTTGGTATAATGATAGAGTACTTGGTCTTGAACATAATAAACCATTAAAGTCCTGGAAACTGGTTCAATTATAAAATTATTGATTTTTGAAAATTTGCTTTTAGAAAATACTCCGAATCAAAGTGTTCGTTTTCAAATATGTGTAATAAATCCGCTCGGAATATTTTTAATGACTCATAAATTAATTTATTTTTTATTGATTAAGTCAATTATTTAAACATATCGGGAAGTTCATGTAACTTGCCTCAAGGCTAAATACCAAACCAACTAGTTTATTATTTCTTCTACTCACGCGTATGTCCGGTGTTGGTGGCCTTAATTTTTTTCGGTTCTATCTGATAGTTGGTCCAAATCAATGGTGGTAACTCAACGATCTTCATTTTTCCAATATTTAAATCTATAGGCGATTCGAACGGACCATCAATGTCCGCCAGATTTTGGATCATCACCACTGCTTCTGGGGTCTCCATCGTTAAAGTTAATTGTCACAAATCACTCTCACTTGTGCAATCAAAATAACCGCGTTAAGCTCATTAATTAGTTTTTTGAAAGTTTATTATATATTAAATTTCTTGATTCAACAGCTTGTTGATTTTACAACTTGAAATATTGTTTATATAGTATTTTTTACGAATTCTAATTTTGACACTAAAAATTTTGAATTTGATATTGAGCTGTTTCTTTGTTTTGATAATGTTTTACTAATGAATTTAGTAGTGATGATTTTTGTTCCTAAGTTGATGTATTGTCTGTTGGCATTGGTATGAAATCTAGTTAACTTTGCAAAGTTTTTGCCAGAAAATCCGATTTGTTTATATATATATATATAGTATTTTGAAGTATGAAATGGAGAATATGGTCTAAATAAGATTTAGATAGCTTAATAAAATATAGTAGCAATTACAAAAAAAATGGTAGGCACTAAATGGGAAACAAAAAGTACATGGCGTCTCCACCGGATTAAATTTCAGCACATTATTATTATTTTTTTAAATCAAAAGGTGAATATTGTAGGGACATATTTTCTCAAGTTAAATATGTTTCAGATCGAATTGTTTCATTAGCAGTCGTAGCTATAATAAATGAATTTATTTTTTTTATTTATAATGAATTCATCATTTTTTTCAAAAGCGTCAAGATCGATACAATTTGAATGAAGATTAGACAAATATTAGAAATTTAATAGTTTATAATGTCAAACTTCAAGAATTAATTATCTATTAACATTTGATACAAAGGAGATTTAAAATATGATGTGATTTATGTTTTTGCATATACTTTATCCGAAATACTTGTCCATTTATTACGCACCTAAAAACTATCTCCTTATATAATATGGTACCTGATTTTATATATAATATATATATTATATATATATATATATATATATATATATTAGGGTGGTCCTTAAAATGGTCATTTTTCGAATTTCCTTGCTCCAGGGCTCAAATGGTTCCAAATTGATAAAAAACAATTCTCTGAAAGTTTAACTCTTAATATTAACGTTTAGATAGAGCGCAATTCAATCAAAGTTTGTATGGAAAGAGCATGGAAAAATTTTTGAAAATTAAAAAAATTGTTTTAGGTATACTTAGCGACAAATGAATGAGTTTTATTCATTCTTTGTTCGCTAAATTACATTTAAAAAACATTTTTAAATTTTTGAAAATTTTCATGCTATTTCCATACAAACTTTGATTGAATTGCGCTCTATCTAAACGTTATATAAGAGCTAAATTTCAGAGAATTGTTTTTTATCTATTGGAACATTTGAGCCCCTGGGAAGCAAGGAAATTCGAAAATGACCATTTTAAGGACCACCCTAATATATATATATATAATATATAATATATATATATAATATATATATATATATAATATATATATATTATATATATACACCTTCCATAGCTGTCTGATAATCTACAATATGCTATCCTTAAACAGACTACTACGAAACCATTTAACATTTATTTGAAAATCTATATCGGTAATAATATTACACAATGTGTATACATTATGGCAATACAAATATATATTTGAATAAACCTTATATAATTGTCCTTATCAATACTGAATATTTACGGCAATGTGTATTGATCATAATAATTGCCGCTAATCACTCCGGCGAAACACCGCGCTCCCACATAATTGTAGCCAAATAATTATTTTCTTATTCAACAAATAAGCTAATTACAGTACGGTAAGTACTCTTACATAAATAAACCCCATTCATTTTGTTAGCAGGCAGAACCGCTTTGAGTCGCCCCTTATATGAATTCAGAAAAATGATTAAGAATGGGTAAATAACCCAAGATCATTTATTTTCATTTTTACTCTTTGTTACGGACGACCACGAAATGTAATAAATATACTTCCTGAATATAAATATTAAATAGGTTAATAAGTGAAATCATCTCACTGTAAAATATAAAGAAAATTTGAAAAAATATTGTTTAAATCTCAATATTTTACTAATAAGAAATTAGCCATGTGAAACGTATACGTATATTTATTTAGTAACAAACTAGTACTAATTGATTAATTTTGGTAGTTACACCATTTCTTTAGGATGAATTTTGATTAGCTCAGACTGTTAGTTTGTGGACTTCCGTAAAAAAAAAATATATTATATACCAAAAACAACGAACGCATTTTTTGGTTAAAAGCATTTTTGGGCCAATATTAAAAAAAACTTTTCAAATCTGTTTCTGACAATAAAAGCTTCAGTATGAATACGGAGAACATTGATATTTGTTACTAAACTCTAATATAGAATATAGTGCTTTAATCACACCTGCCTAACATGTTAGCATTACAATTATATGAGCAATTCCACTGAACTATAAAGAAATTAAAAATTAAAAATATCCATGATTAAAAATTATTCTTATGTCAAATGTCAAATTAATTTGTTTGTTTTTTATATATGACAATTATATATATATATATATATATATATATATATATATATATATATATATTTGATATCAAAGCATACCGTGTTTATTTTTCGCAAAAAAAACAAAAAGCAAATTAAAATGGCATTAGACGTGAAAATAATTTTCTATCATGCATAATTTTTTAAATTCTTGTCTAAAAAAAGTACCACATTTATTATGACATTCTAGAAGTAAGAAATCTGAGTAAATTTGTGAGCGTGAACCTCTGAAGCAACCAAGACACATTGGAATAGATGTGAATTTTTGTGTCTGCAATGAAGAAATCAGCGTCAGAGATTTATACTGAACCTGATTGTATCACGCCGAAGCAACTAATGTACTTCCATCAATGACCAAAAACGCGAGAAAAGGACCACTTTCGGTAAAAACAAATTATATATATATATATATATATATATATATATATATATATATTATCCCAATGGAAAATAACGCTGGATGTTGTACTTAAAAAAGCTCGCTTGAACACTGCACCAATAATCTTTAATAAAAGTTGCACAAACATTACAGGTTGCAGGTTCTTCGATGGAACTAATCATGGATAATTAACTTCATTTGATAAAATCATACACCGATTCAACAAAAAGGCAGTAACTCCTGATGTTCCTAATTGCCCAGTCAAAAAAAAAAACAACCACCAGGATCATTTCGACGCAACCTCGTATTATTTATAAAAAGATAAATTACTACGTCTACTTTTTTGCAACTTTTGATATGATTCATCTAGTTTTTTTGTGTACACTATTTATTGTTTTTTGCCTTTTACTATTTTTATTGTTTTTATTTATAATATTTTTCTGCCATTTCATGCATAACTTCACTTTTTCTGCTTTACAATTTATTAAAAATGAACTTTTATTATTTATCAATTAATTTTTTTTAATGATTATTAGATGTAAATACTTTAGAAAGATTTGTAAAAATTGTTTTGTATAAAGTTTTGATATGATTTTTCATGTTTTATTTATCTAGTTTTTATAATCCTTTTACTATATAAAAATGATATTTAATATGAAAATATTTTATTTAACCTCAACTGCAATAAGTATCTACTTACAAAACACAGAACGAACATTTGTTTGACATAGATTTTAATTAGAATCGCGGTGTAATAATTACGAAGAAACGGCACAGCAGATCTTTACGACAAACTAATCAGCACGATTTACAACCAATTTCTTTGAACAGTTTTTGAATTTTTGAAAACTGTTTCAGATTTGTAGACTAAATAATGGACACAAATGCAATACTTGCAGAACAATTTTTATTTTTAAAAAATTAAACAGACCAAAACTATTTTTTAATAGTAACTAATTTTATTTGTTTAAATTTTTATATTTTCAATCAAATATAACGTATCCATTTTCAATGCACACATGTAATATGAAACACTACACTCAACATATTCTATTTTTTAACTTCATCCGATTAACCGATTTGAATGGTTTAAAAAACATTCGATTCTTATTGATAGGGAGATGTGCTGATTAGTTTATGGCAAAGGCAAGTCCAGTCGTTACGGATATAATGAGCAAACATTGCTGAAAATAGAAATCGAATTTTTGAGAGAACGGAGCATCCGATTTGAATGATCTAAAAAACATTCAATTAGTAATTATTGGGAGAAATGGCTATTAGTTTTTGGCAAACTAGTTTTTTAACGAATATCAAAACATTAGTAATAGTTGCCCCATATCGGTAATTTACAAAAATCCTGAATCAATTTGGTCCTGTCTAAGTTAGAACCCTCTATTCTAATTCTTGACCAACTTGATGGCTTATCGGTCGCCTGTGCACGCACCTGAACTGAAATCAACAGGACCGACCCAAAAAAACGAAGAAATCCGCAAGAGTTAATTTCGTAAGTCAACTTTTCGATCGCATGTTATGGCTTTTGAAACTATTTTATGATTCTGAAGTCAATAAGGCTTCTATATTTAGAGTTGTTTTCATGGTTGAATCTGGGAAAGTGTGGAAAAATTAGCTTTATCTTAAAGTATCGCATTAAATGATTTTGTCATGAAAATATGTCTTCTAGTATCTGCTGTTACCTCAAAATATTTTTGCATTATATTTATATAGTGATTGGTGGAGGAACAAAAAATATAATCAAAATAAACTGTTATGACTGAAATTGACATTTTTTCTGCCATATTATGGCATAGGTTTTAATTTTAATTTTCTCTGTTGATAAGTTAATTTATTGTAATCACTTGATGAATTAATTCAATCAATAAGTATTTTATTGCTTTCAAAAAAGTTTAAGTTCCCGATATGTAAATAATCAATATAATAATTTATTTTTAGCTTTTCAAATTTTGTTGTTTGTTCAACTTTTTTGATTTCCTAAAATTCAATGCTCTTGGTTCTTTATAACTTTAAAGAATTTTTATAAATAAACCTCTTTTTTATGAAATGTATCATATCTATTTCTGTATATATAGAGATATCATTAAAATTATCCAGATGAAAAT